AGGGGCCGCTCACCGCTGCGCTTGCGCCGAACGCGGGCCCTTACAATTGGGCTAATTAACTTCCGAATCGGGTATGGATGTTTATGGTGTAGTACCTTTATGTACAATTATAGAATGATTTCTATCCGGGTATAGGTGACTAAGTAAAATAGGGGATCTTATTGACCATGTAACTATCGTGAGGGCGGGCATATTACCCACATTTTCATATTTTTGTGTATATTCTGTTCTCCTATACGAGCATTAACTTATGTTTAGTAAAAACGGACTCTTTTAAAACTAAGTAAAAACTGACCTTTTTGTAAATAAACAAATACGCAGGCTAGCTACATCACCCGTTTATTCATTTATTAAGTAATATTATGAATGTAGTATTATGAATTTACAGAGCTTACATTAAGTCGTTTATGGGCTAACTCCGACATAATAACGTAATTCTACGATTCAAACAATACAATTAGAAAACTTGACAGACTAATAACATCCAAATGTTCCGCAATGATTCATAGTTACAGTTATTTGTAGCAGTACTGACGTCTTCATTACTTAAAATGATTTGTGTTTTATGACTGTGGCCGAGTTATTTATTTCGTGGTGCAGATGAGGTTTAAATTTACAAGAAAACTACTCTTAAAATGGGCGATTAGGTTTCTAACAAATAGTCATTACAAGACTTTGCAACTATTATTTATTCAAAAACATTAATAGAACTTTATAACTTGAACTTGACATGACAGATATGCAACAAGCGATAAGGGGGATAGATAACCACAGCATTTTCAATTATTTTTATATTATATCTCATATAGGTAACGCACTTTAACGATTTAAAACGCGAAATATATTAGTTAAAACGGACACTGAACGGCTGATATTAATTAACATATCTTTTAATATCTTCCAGTGACCACGGCGACTACAAAGATACCGAAACGTCGGGCCATAATTAAAATATATAACTATTAATATCTAAATATATAACTATATAATAAATTTCACTTAATGTGTTTTATTTAAGTGTTTGTACGTAATACGCAAAAATGTTAATTCGATTTCTATCAAAATTATTAAATATTGGTGTCTTAAAAGATATTTGATTTTATATATTTGACTTTAAAACGTTAATGGTAGTGTTTTTCGTGTTTGTTGAAGGTTTTATGTAGAAAGAAGAGAAACAAGGGTGTTCTCACACCGGGGAACTTTAATTATACCGATTACAGCTGTTAGGCACCAAAATGGGTACAATAAAGTTAGAAGCAACGAAAACCAATCCATAATTATTCCCCACAGTCTTATTTGTGCCCACTCGCAGCGAACGCCACTTAACTTGCTTCTCCCGTGGGAACAGAAGAACGTCATAACACTGAGACGCTAATCTTATTAAACCATCAAATAAAATTGTACGTGATTAATAGGACCATAAATTATTGGGCAACTTAGTCGATGGATGTCCGACGTTTGGAAGATAAACTTCGTGAAAATTGTAGAATTTATTTCTGTAGATAGGTATTGAATAAGGCAATTAAAGATAAGACGAATTGAGATTTTATTTTTTTTTGATACAGGAGAACAGACAATGGAGTCAACTTGATGGTATGTGAAATAGCCGTATAAGATCCAAACAGGATGTGTTGTCGACTTATTTCGGCTATTCACTAACTGAAACCGAAACGCGATTAACTTTCACGGCTTTTTTATCGTGATCTGGACGGAATTCCTATAGTCGTTTAGTATTAAAATATTAAATATTTCAGGTAAATTATAAATTGATTAGCAGCAGCATGTTGATCCTGTTGGAGATCGAACACAAGACCTGTTGCTTATTAGACATGCATTGCTATTATTGACTCAACCAGTCCGTTGAAATCGAATCGAAGTATTTGCATATTTGTTTGTGCCAGACTAAATTGTTGGGCAAAGTCAAACCAAATTTTTATGAAACATGATAGCCCCAATTACAATTGTTTGTCCGTTTGTGTCTTGGGAGGGTTTTAACTGGTTATCTTGAGATCGGTATCGGACGCCATTCGTAAGCTCTGTAGTAGCTAATTGAGTATTCACCCTGGAAGTGCGCACGCGCCGGTGAAAGTTGCTTCTTCTTACTACCCGTAGAACAACTACGAATGTGTGTATTCTAAACAGGATCTACGATGTTTCTTCGAGAATTCCTAAGTATACCATTAGTTTATGATATGATCTGAAGAATTGTATTTATTGATTAAAGAATTTATTACTATTTACTAATCTCACTTTTCCTTAAATTAATTTGAATGTTCGGATCGCGTTGCTTCTCTGATATCTTATCGCTTTTTGTGGTTAAACCTATATTTTCTAATGTATACCATCTATAATCCCTTATCTTTTATTTAAAATATTATTATCAATTCATTAATAGTTATTTATTTCCCGAAGTAATACATATAAATAACGAAATGTGTCTATCTGTATTAAAGTATATGCAAGCCTGATATTTAGACAAGATCATAACATTTGAATATCAAACAGCTTACATCAAATTTTCCCAACATAATACTAAACTGCATTTGCCTCCGCATAGTTAGGCGCGAGTAATGCCCCTAACCGGTGATTTGGAACCGGTTCCGACCGGCTATGCTAATCTCTTATCAATTTCATAAGCCCAATATTAGATCAGAGATAAAACTGTGCTAAACAACTGCTTCATAAAGAAAAAAAACAACTCGATTAAAACGCGAAATTTATTTATTAAGGAGATTCTCAAACATAGAAGTCAGAACTTTCTGGGCACTATACATTTAAATACTGTCTAAAGTTTACGCGAGTAGTACACATTCAAATAAAACACTTTAACGGTTTAAAACGCGATATATATCAGACCAACTTATTTGAAAAATATTCTAATTGTGTCCCCGTGACCATGGCTGCTGAAACATCCGAAACGTCAGGCGGTAGTTAAAATATTTTTCAAAGATGTTTAACTAATATTAGGTAGCGCATTTTAAACCTTTAAGTGTTTTATTTAAATAACTATACTTAATATGTTGTTATTATCAAATTAGAGCCTGTTTTATACAGAAATAAAGCGTATGATTATGCATGTTACGGACGGTTAACAGGTGTTTTTTTTTATTCTTAAGTTTAAAGATTTAATAACATTTATATATAATAGTAAGAAGAATAAGTAAGTTTCAGTAGAATGTACGCAGTGAAATTTGATTTTAGTAAAAAAATATTAGTCTACATTGGCTATACAGAAAATTATAATCGAATAAATTGTTAATATTGATTAGTAAACCATAAATAAATTCTGAACGTTACGAAACATAAATAGGTATACCTATAGCTACGTTTGATATCATGCCCAACGACAAAGTTTTATTACAAACTAAGACCGATAAAAGTCAACTGAGTTTGAAATAATTTCTTTGTGACTCACACAATGTGGTTATGAAATAAGACGATATCGAAATGTCCAGCGGTCGTAAATTACCGCGTCACTTAGAATCGGCCCCTTTTACTAATGAATCTTAAGACGCGAAGATATTGTTTAATCCTATGCGTCGTGCGTCGACATTAATGAACGCAGAGAAGAGAAGGAATATTCTGACTAGATTTAAATATTGACTAAGGTTTATAGTGCTCTTATGAGAAACTAGCTGTGTCAGCGACTTTTTCCGCTAATAGTAATTTTAGGCATCCGAATTTGTTTTTGCAAACTGTTTATCTTTATGAACTTAAGTTGTTAACCACGAAGTTGGTCGTGTCCATTCCCGTCGTTCTTTCAAGTTAATCTTATAAGATAGACATATAGCGTCGCGGACTTTACTTTGAATCATCTAAAGGGGAATCATTCTTTCGGACATATTTTTTGAACCGTTTTTGCAGCGTACGCCTTGGTAACCCATAATGATAAATACTTTTCCCAATTTTATCATAAATTCGCTGTTTCTTCGCTTGTATTAGTCACAGAGCAATGTTTTATAGCCTTAAAGCCTTCCTCGATCTGCTGAAATGAAATCTGCGAAATGCTCTAAGTAACTTATATAACTAATATTTTTTTTAAAACAAACAAACTTCAGCTTTATATATTAGTATAGATAGATCGAAGATATATAGTCGTTCTTGCGAGTTAATCTTAATACATAGATATATTTACTGTCGCGGACATATTTTAGATCATTTAATTAATTCAAAAATATTTTTTGGTTTCTCCGTTTTCACAGCGTATGCAACGAAAGTCTATGAAGATTTATTATTTTCCCCAATTTTAAACGGTTTTATTTAGCTCGACACGTACGGAATTTATTTATTTAGGTCAAAATTAGAAATGACATTTAAGCACCTTCCCATTGTCAGATTGATCTGAAATTTGGTACTTACATTTAATTTTGACGAAGATACAATATAAATAAAAAACATTATAAATCCAAGATGGCCGACAGCCGATACAAAATGGCGGATTACATATTTTTCCTCAACCAATGAAATGGCAACACTAATAAATCACGATGATTTTTTTGTGCACAAAAATATATAACCGTTTAACTTAAAAGGTTTTAAATACCGATTTTTTATAATGTCTAGTGCTTTAATCTTAATTAATTTAAATAATAATAAATTGTAATAGGCGATCAATAAAAATTCAAACTGTCCTTTATATTTAAAATACGCTTGCATGAATAGATTGAAGACTATTTGAATGAAACGTTAGTTCAGTTGCTTAAAGCACCAGACTGATCGTGGGGTCTTGTCCCGCCCGTGTCTTTGATTCATTTACTTGATACCTCCTATTAAACGTTGCAAGTATAACGCAAGACACCCTCTGACATAAAATATTAATACCCGTTATAAAGAAGTTTTCGTATTTGCTTTATGAGATAGATTAGGCAAAATGTTTGGTGACTGTCACAAACTCAGTGTAAAGATAACGCTCCAATTTTATCGATGACTTGACATCGCTTATCGTCAATCGCTACAGTATAGACTGTAGAGGGAACAGTGTTGTCTCGTTTCTTGCGAAAATGGGTGAAACTGAAGCTGATATTAATATATTTGGGAGGAGCAGGGGAAATTCAAGGTATTGTTGTAATGTTTTCAATTATTCATTTAGTTTTCACTTTTAATGATAGGTCTGTGAGCTGTCGCCATCTGAAGTCTAAGTAGAACAACACCGCTGATAATTGCAATAAAATTGAACGATACATTCGGCGACCGCTGTTGTAAGATAAAGTTGAAAAGTATAGAAATTATATATTCTAAAGAATGAATTAAACACATTATTGCAAAATGAAAACCAGTTCTTAATAGCTGTTGAAAATAATTTAGTACAGAGAGAAATAACTCCCAATTATTGTTTAATTTCAGCTTGAACACAGTGATAAGAGATAAGCCAGTGTTCAATCCAAATGACCTATACTACGACATGAGTGGAAAGAAGTACTTGCATATCTTCAATCATTACGAGTATCAGAAAACGCGATATTTTAAGTAAGTATCGCCTATTTCATACAAAATACATGGATAAGCTACGTTATGCACCTACATCAATATTCGCAAAGCAAATTTCTGCCATCCTAACTCGTTGTTCAGGAACAAAAAACCGAGCACCCGAGAAGGTACCCAGAACGATGTGTCTCGATTGACGGAGGTTTTTGAAAATTTGGGTTTCGAAGTGACTCCTTATGATGACAAGGAATATCAACAAATCATTGATATAATTACAGAAAGTAAGTAGGTATATTCTATATATTAATAAACTGGAATTATTTTTAAACGCAAATTTTATATTGACCCGTCAAATGGTAGCATTGGTTGCAAGAGTACCACGAACTGAGATGCCATGCAGAGATGAAAAACCCGTCAAGTTTCATCGTTTTACATAGCTTCTTGGACTCAGTCGTCGCTCGGTCGAGAAAGACCTCCTGAAAATGTAATTTTCTCATGAATCCGACACGTCGAAAGTAATTTCTCAATCAGGACAGCTGTGTGACAGATTACTTTGAGAAGATATAGTCTAAGAAAATTCTGAATTAAAATTTCAGTAACCATTAAAGACAACAGAGATACTTCATGCCTCTTCTTCGCGTTTCTGACTCACGGAAACATAGGAGGCGATCTGTATGCAGCAGACCAACCCTACCAGTTCAAAGATGTGCTGGGTTTACTGGAACATGGACACGAATCCCTGGTGGCTAAGCCCAAAGTCATTTTCGTACAGGTTAGGGTTTCTCTCAAACTGTTTTTTGCAACGTATTTACTATAATAAGATCGAAATATGATCAGATTGTGAACTATCGTTGATTTGACATTGTAAACATGGGCACTGCTCACATTTGAAGCGATTCTCTTCTTTAAATTACAATGTAACGAGCTAAACTTCGCCTTTTACATAATTTTCAAACGAGGCTCAATTACAGGCATGCAGAGGAAACCAAATGGACGACGGGAAGAAAATTGAGCTGGATGGTCCCTGTGCTTCGTATCTTATTCCAACGCACGCTGACTTCCTAATTTTGTATTCAACTGTTGAAGGTAGGACTTTTAATTATTAGAAATTTAATTCATGGCTTGGTTCACGATGTTCTCGCATTTTTATTAAGTATTCTGACGTGTCGAATTGCATTACCTATTTGGACAATAGATGGCGCCACGGTCGAAAATATGCTCATAGACGCAAATGAAAAGCCGAAATAGTCTTTATTTTTCTATTTATATTCCCAAACTAAGTAAAATAAAGTAAGTTAGATAAAATTTATTTTAAATTACAATTTATTCGCATATTAAGGCCCGACACATCCTTAGTTACAGCAGCCGTGGTCACGGCGCCGGAACTAAGGATGAAGAGTGTCCCTAATGTGTGAAGTCGATTTTGCAACACTACCGCCATCTGTTTCGTACTCGCGTGAACTACAGACAGTACCATATTTTTACAGACCACCGGTCTTATAGAGACACAAACGGCTCGTTCATGATCCAAGACTTATGCGAGGTTATCCACACGTATCACAAAAGCTGGGACCTGCTTCAACTTCTGACTCTCGTCCACAGGAGTGTGGCATACAAGCGCAGCACATATACTCCGCGTGTGATGTCAAGACACAACAAGAAACAAATGCCCGAGACTAAATACACGCTCACAAAATTTCTAAGACTTTAAAAGTTGCTGGAGAGTAAGAGAGTAATAAGGCAGCGTCATTATGGACAGAATTTTGTGTACATTTACTAATATTATATTTTTACTTTTCAGACAAATCGTAAAATATAATAATTCTTGCTCATGTAATGACTTTTTGTTATGTCGTTGTGTTTCATTTTCTATCTTCATAAAAGCCGACGAGCTTATTTGTTTAAAACAGCGGGAATAATTTCGCACAACGGAATCGCGTACGCTACGAAAACAGTTCAAAATACCCAAATAATACTATGCATAAAGAATGATTCGTCTTTAAACGATGTAAAAGAATGTCCGCGACACTGTATGTGTATCTTTTAAAATTAACTTGCAATAACGACGGGACGCGGACGACGTCGTGGATAACAGCTAGTTGAGAGTTGCAAAAAAAATGTTGATGCCCAAATTAACTATTATACGCAGACGAAGTCGCTGATACAGCTAGTGTTTACATAAAACAAAAACAAAACCGAAGGTACTTAGTTATTATTTGAACCATTATTTTTCAGGTTTCAAAAGGCTTTTTTAAAATAAAAATAAAATATACTTTATTCTCTGTAAAATTATAAAAATTATTTAGATTCGTCAAAAAAATAATAAATAATATGTTTGTCTGTCCGTTCGTCGTGATTCTACAGAGTGTTCAAAAGAGCAACATAACCAAGAAGAACACCCAAGAAACCCAGTCTGGCTTTTTTCAAAATGTCTTACAAACCCAACCAAGGAGCAATTCGTATCACTGCCAGGCAGCCCTGTCTTTAAAGAAATCTTTTAAACAATGATACGCCTTTTGAGACATTCTAAATTTTATGAGTTTTTTTGAACTTATTAATTGATAAATTTGAAACCTCAACTGGCTATTATACATACGAATACAGTTCCCGCAAATGAATTAGTTATTTTTTGGAGCCTATGTTTGGGGATAGCTAGCTTATCCTTATTTCTTAAGTGTTAAGAGTGTTAGATCCCCAACGGATCTCGGTTCTGTAATATTTTGGACTTCGTCTAGAAATCCTAAAATAAAATGAGTGGTAGGTAAATCCTCGTAAAGTATAAAAGCTATTTTTGTTGTAATGTTTTCATGCTTTGCAAATCGGAAACGAATGACCAGTAAGTGGGCCGTTTATTTCCAAATGACAATACGAGATGTGGAACGATCGTTAATGGTGTAATGGCGCACTTTATTTTATTGTTTCCAGTCTGAGGAGAGATCAAAGTACTTCAGAGTCGCAGTCGTCATTGTCTTTAATTTGGTAATTAAGTAACCGAACAGAACGAGAAAAACTACCGAACCTATAAGCAAGAATTTTTGAACAGAAATCAAAAATTCTTGCTTATAGGTTCGGTAGTTTTCAGTGACACATTATAAGTCGAATCGTCTGAAAACATTTGGGTGTTCGTTTTGAAACATTTGCTTTAGTGTATATTTTAATGCCAGATAAACATCTTAGCAAGGGACGCTGTCAAAGTTTATTAGCTTTTAGTCTGCGGTCTGTAGTTCGTCCCGGACAAACTTTAGATATTCTTACTGTTAGATAATCTGTGCAATGTCAATATATTGATTTAATGTTGAGAGGACTGTTTACTCTTTTTGTCTTTTGTAAAATCTTTATGCTTTTGTTTTTCCCGCTCTCTTGCATACGGATCGTTAGAAAATATGACGCAATATATAAAAACAGCTTGATCATTTAATTAAATCACAGCCTTTTATTATTAAAATAACTTCACTTACAAACCATTTATTATCCATATTTACAAACCTCTAATATATTTCGCAAAATATACAAATTCATTTTTAAAATACACATAGTGCTCGGAGGATAAGGGATATCCAATTTAGGCCCCTAGAAAATCGTTCTACTCTGATACATATCTAAGTAACGGACATTAGTGAATCCTACGATGTGTATACCTACCGCATTACAAGTGCGCTGAAAAATATTTAAAGAGAAAGTAAAGTAGAGCAAAAAATAAGGTATCGGCCCCACGCCGCGATTTAATTACGCGATTGCTGCGCGGGCATCACGGAGGGCTGTCGCCTCAAATACTGGCTGGGGTCGGCGTAAGGCACGCGAGATAAGCGATCTTGCTCTTACAGGTGTACATGACGTACATCGTACAAGTAAGAATTAGTTTAAACGAAGATCAAGATAAAAATAATGTCAACTCCCATTATTTACTTCATATAGTACTGATAACAATCATTACAATTCAAATTATTATACCAATACCATACAAAATTCAACGTGTTCCTGCACTTCTCCAAAACGGTTGGACGGACTTTAATAAAATGTTGAATTGACACTTGACAGGAATAAGAATACAGAACCTATTTTTACTTTTCACGTGTAGTATATGAGAGAAAGAGATCCTCACACAATCCGCAATTGTCACTTTTTTCCTACCAAAATAATATTATCTTGAAATAATTTACTTATACGACGAAACAATATCCGTACTAATATCATAAATGCGAAAGTAACTCTGTCCGTCTGTCAGTCTGTTATTCTTTCACGTCAAAACTACTGAACGGATTTGAATGAAACTTGGTAAACAGATGGTTTAGACCCTGAGAAAGAACATAGGCATATAGGTTTTTATTGCTAAAAGGGGGTTGTAAAAGTTTGTATGGAAATTCGTGGTTTTTGAAGCTAGAACAATGAAACTTTCTTTTTTGGCGTTTTGGAAATAGAAGTGGGAGTGAAAATGAGAGTGGGAGTTAGAGTAGGATTGATGCGAGGTGAGAGTGTTGCGGCAAAGTAGCACTTACAACATAGATTGGCTGCGACAAATGCGCAATTACATAAATTAATAAATATCCCAAATAATTAAAAATTCTACCCCAACTCACTATTCCACGCGAACGAAGTCACGGGCCCAGCTATTATCCCATAAATGCAATATACTAGATATAGGTTCTTTTGTTTTTTGTTGTTATTGAAAGATATAGTTTATGGTGCATTAGGGTTCACCCATATCGTATTGATTCGCTCAAGACTTGCACCACGCGTCATCCAGCGCTGGTATGCAGTGTATAAGCAGACCATTTGACGCCGGAACTCAGTGTGTGCATAACATTACACCGCCTAGCCGATTTGTTCTATTATTTACAATCGTTGTGTTTACTTACATGCGACCGCTTGGCTGAGCTTTAGACTTGGGCGAGCTTGAAGCGAGCTAGTAAGCTTACCCAGGTGGAGCTTATTGTCATTTTTATGCTCGTACGAAACAGATGTTTAAATAGAAACCGCTAAAACCGCAGGCCGAAGTTAAAAATCATTTCCAAATAAGTTTAACTAATATATCGCGTTTTAAACCGTTAAAGTGTTTAATTTAATGTGTACTACTCGCGTAAACTATAGACAGTATTTCGAAGCCGCTATTTTTATACCAATATATTTTATTTAATCTCTTTCGAATTAAAAATCGATTATCGAATCGATAGATTGAAAAAATTGACGACTCGGGTGAGACTTGAACCGGCGTCCATAGCGTTCCGTGATGTTGCTCTAACTATGTGCCATAACATGTGGAAATTATTAAAGTTTTTTTCTATTTCCCCCCTTTATTTGTGCTTGTTCACGTTCAAGCACAAATACTAGGTAGTAAGTAAACAAAAAAAAAACAATAATAATGTAATATATTATAAGGAATGTACATGTAATTTACAACAGGCGAGCCTTAATTAAAAAGATAAACGAAATTTTTTAACGGTTTGAAACGCGAAATAGATTCGTTAAGTTATTATTTTAACTACAACGAATTGTAGTTAGAAAATTAGAAATAATATAATTTATATAGTTCGTGTATAAACCGTTAAACTGTGAACTACAGAAAAATAAATAAAACTTAAGTATTAAAAGTAATGATTTCTGAGAATGTCACGAAAAGACACTCAAGATAAAAAAGCGTCTATTGTGAGTATCGGTTTAGTCGGTTTGTTCTTATTTCGCTTTGGTCTGTACTGAAAATTCTGTATGCCTTTTTATTTTAGTGTTTCTTAATTTTTCTTTTGATATGCGTGTCGCATTAGACAAAAACAGCTCACCTTTTCATGCGGCCGGGTAAAAAGTGCGTAAAGCTCCGAGGTTCCTGGTAGCACCCAGTACGGACGTGGTCTAGTGCATTGACAAGAATGTGGGGAATGTTCTGCGACTTGCAACATCGCTAACGGGTCTTTCATATATCACAGTGTATTATTTCAAGTTCAGTCGTATATCGTACACAACAGACACAATTTTATGTCCGTTCCTGGCAAATTCAGTGGCCGAGCGAAAGATTTGATTTTGTTTTTGAGGTCGCCATCATTTTAACAACAGTCGACTTGTAAGTATCTTGTAAACTTCTTTAACAAATGAGGTACATGACCAATTCAAATTTACAGTTTAAACAGTTAGTTATTGTAATATACAACAAATACAAATACATATTACAAAATACAAAGTAGTTTACAAAATGTATATATATATATTATCTATGTTAATATTATAAAAATGAAGAGTTTATCTGTTTGAACGCGCTAATCTCAGGAACTAATGGGTCGAATTTGATCTCTGAGTTAGATAGACGATTTATCAAGGCTTTAGGCATTTTTATACAATATAACGTGCGTTACGAAAACAATACAAGGAAAATGTATTAAAGAATGATCCCTCTTTAGATGTTCTAAAAAAAGTCGGCGACAAGCTTTTAAGACTAATATGCAAGTACGACGGGACGGGGATAGGGTCATGGGTAACAGCTAGTCAATTATAAATTGATTGTTTTTAAATGGATATATTGAATCCTGGTATAAAATCACTCTGCTAAACATTATTAAACTTACGTTTATTTAACAATTTACCATTAAAACACAGTTAAACCTCGGAATGTTATTATATAGGTCCAGTTGTCGTGTTTTGCTTCAGAAAACAATGTCTCGAACCAATTAGTTGGGAAGAGAAATAATTGGGAGGGAACCTGTTTCAAACGCGTACGTACTTTTT